ACCCCTCTCATCTTATTCTCCTTTTGTGTTACGCATGATTCGGACGGACAACGATGAAGCCAGCGGCTATAGATACGACGAGCGTTGGCGGGGATGGGCACAACGACGGTCTACAATGGCTGCGGGCGACGAAGTCTTCGTGAGGTGTAATAGCTCTATATTCAGTGGGTGGGGGTGGGGTGGGTGAGGGGGCGGGGAGCGGAGGGTGGGGAAGGGGTTGTGAGACTGGGGAGGGGGTGAGGGTTAGAGAATGGGGTTAGGTGAGCCAGGGTGGACGGCAGTCACCAGATGGGGCGGGGATGGGGGCGGCAGTCACCATCGGGTTGTGATTGATTATTAGTCGTAGGGTTACTGCCACGACAGTAACTGCTGCGGTAGTCACTAGCCAGATGGCTGATAAACACGATAATTACCTATATTTTAGGAATTTTATCAATATGAGATTTGAAAGATAGATTAATTATCAATCCGGGACCTGAAAGATGAAATGTATCAGTATGAGATTTGAAAGATGAAAAATTATCAATTTAGGACCTAACATTTAATAGGTTTTGATTTATTTAATTTTTTATTAATTCCATTGCTAATATTTGGTGAAATTTTCTTCACAAAAGTTTATTAGTTTAATAAAACTAAATATTATTTAAATTTTTTAAAATAAAAATAATAATAAAATTTATGAAAACATAGGTCTTAATTGATAGTTTTCAATCATTCGGGTCCTAGATTGATAGTTTTTCATCATTCAGGTCATATATTGATACACTTCATCTTTTAGGTCCCGAATTGATAGTCCGTCTATCTTTCAAGTGTCGGATTGATAAAATTTCATATTTTATATAGGTAATGTTGATTATCTGTACGAATATGCAAAGCTCAAACAGGTAAAAAAAATCCCAATTTGAGCAAAAACCGCACAAAGGTGTCAAAAGATGAAGAAACAGGCGTCAACGGTCAAAAGGGGTTGAGAACAGACATTTCGGGATCAACTACGGGCGTAAAACGGAGCGAAACAAGGAATATTACACAGCAGGGTATAACCGGCGCTGGTCTACCCTCAAAACCGGCACCGGTTGCATTTAATTTCATTATTCCGGGTTCGCCGAAAGACAACCGGCGCCGGTCCACCCCTATAATCGACGCCGTTTATGTCAATTTATCCATTTTCCCCAGCGCTGAAGGAAAATCAGCACCGGTCAGGCCTGAAACCGGCGCCGGTTAGGTCCGATTCTACACAAAGCAGGGAGACGTGCAACAATATTTTGATGGGAAATTCTCACCTTCCTCATGATCTGATCAAATATATCTTCCATGACTAATTGTTGGGCTCGAATAGACTAAAAGATGTTAATCTTTAGCCTATATACAGCCCTCAATTCATCAAACAAGGGAATCATTCCATCTTTAGAGCTTAAAATTCAGTTTTTATATTTTATTTTTGTATTAACTTGAAGAGTTGGAGAAGAAGCCATTTCTCTCCTCTAGAATTGGTTCTATGTATTTTTTTGTATGTTATTGTATTTCCTTATTCTTAGTTACACTTTTGTAAATAATATGAGCATTAGTAGCTAAATTCTTAGCTAAGGCTAGGGATGAACTTCTATGCCCACTAGGTGTTTGATAAAAGTTCTAAACCAATAAATTGTGATTTATCCTTTATCTATTGATTGTTTATGACTATGGTGTACAACATAGAAGTATGTTAAATTTAGTTTATACTTGCAATTAACGTTGAAGTCTAAACTATGAACATTAAAGGATAAACATATATAGTACATGATAGATAAGTGCAGATCTGTTCTTACCTCATCTCTAACTTCATTTTCGAGCCCTTGAAGCCTTTGGTTAGTTGTCTCCAGGATCTGGCCTAGTCTTTGAAGGTCACTTCCATGATAAGTGTGCCCGGGGGGTATTTATCCGAGGGGTTATTGCGGGAGAGAGTTGAGAGAAGTCGGAGCAAAAGTAAGAGAGAGAATATATATTGCTGAGAAAGTATTGAGCGTATTGAGCCTGGATTACAAATGGGGAAAGGGGTGCTATTTATAGTAGTAATAAATGCCAGATAGGGACACGTGTCATCATTCTGGTGGTCGAGGGGTCACCTCAAAGGGGTGACACTAGCACTCGCATGTGGCCGCAATAAATGCCAGATAGGGACACGTTGATCCAGCGCATGTGGGCGGAAGATTCTGTCGAGGAGATGCCTTCGGCCGTAGATGGTTGGCCGAAGGCTCTTTATCCCGGGGGCCTCTAGGTGCCGAGGGCTCTAGATACCGAGGGCTATTGTTTTCGCCGCTTCCTCCCAGACACTTTGAGTGCTTAAAAGCAGTTGTACCGTAGGTTTATGAGCCTTCGGCCAGGGGGCCGAAGCCACCCCCAATGTTCACCGTGACCTGTTTGGTGCTTGGGGCGCTATGATTTGGGCCTGCTGTGCTTCCTGGGCCTATTGGGCCTTCGCTATAGTAGTGGGAGTCTATGGGTCGGGGGTTCCGGGGCCATATACTCCATCAGGAGTCCCTCACTCCTTTTGCGGAAAGGTACTTGTGGGAAAAGGAGTAATTGCGGTTGTCCTCTGATGTTGTCTTGCTTGTAGCTTGCAAACCTGTGAGAGATTTGCGTTTGCACACGATTCTGCCGGGGGCAGTCCTTCAGTCCCCCACATTTTGGGACTTGAAAGATTATGTTGCTACTTTGGGGAGATTTTGACATTTGCATTTTTTTATTTTCCCGGTTCCCGGGGGGGTTCTCCGGTCCCCCACTCTTTGAGGCACATGTAATGTGGTGAAGAGGAGTAGAGTAGTGCCTGTTGTTATCATATTGCTGAAGGCTGACGCTTTTCATTTCATTTTGGGGGGATGCCTCGTTAAAAACCTCATTAGAAAAAACCCTGTGGGAAAAAATTCTAATGAGGGAAAAAGAGTGCACCGAATTCCCCCAACGATGAATCGAAGAGGTGAAACCTTGGTCCGAAATGGATGGCAGTATTGTTGCCGAGGGCTATCTTTGTTTGAGGGTGTGTGTGTTGATTTGCCGAAGGCGCTTTGTTAATATCCCGGGAGATGCCGAAGGGGAGTCCCTCAATCCATGGGATCGAGGGCGTGATGAATGTAGTGGTAGTCACTGTGTTGCCGAGGGGGATTCTCTAGCTGTTGACAAGCTGGGGATGAGGGCGCCCGAGGGGATGAGGGCACCCGAAGGCTAACCACTGATGAGGGGTTTGGAGGTGTGGCCCCGAGGGTTTCCTGATTCCCAACACGTTGAGGGTTGGGGGGTCCCGAGGGGTTTTCCTGTTATTAAGCCGTGGGCTCCTGAAGGAGAAAGCCCGAAGGCATTTGTAATGTTGTATGAGGGGTACCGGCCGGGAGCACCTCTGTGATCTCAAAATATAGTCGTTGCAATCAGACCGTTGGCATATGGAACGTTTAAAAAGTAGCCGTTGGAGAGGACTTTCACGTGGCGCGTGGCTGTTGGCTAGCTTCGGGCGGGTATCACCGGTTCGCGGAAGGGGGCGGCGTGTAATGATGGCTTTCGTAACCGGAGGCCCGGTTTTGGGCCCACGCCCGGATTTGGATGCCTATAAATACCCCAAGGCCAAGGCCATTCTCCTTGCACGATCATACTGTAGCGAAGCTCTGCCGGATTTTTTCTAGAGAGAGAAACAACCCTTCGATCAAATCCTCACTTCCCAAGGTCAGTCGCTCCTCCTGTTCTCGAGTTCCTTAGCGTATTTTTGCCCTTAGGTTAAGTGCTAGAGTTGTTTTAGGGAGCCTTCGGTTTCTAGAACCCCTCATCCCCTAGTTCTCGAGGATGTCTTCGGCAAGTGATTCCCAAAACATATCGAGGGAGGCATCGATGGACGTTGAGGTCGTGTCTGAGGTGGAGTCTTCGAGCGAACACCTTTCAGCAAACAATGAAGACTTCGAACAAGTGATTGAGGACGAGAAGCTGGCCCTTGCCTACCAAGTGGCAGAGGAGGAAGCGCATAAGGAGATGATGAAGGTTACAGTCGATGTCCTCCCTCCTCGCAATGCTGGTGAAGCCAGCACCTCCCAGCCCTTGAACCCGACGCCTCTCCGGGTGGCCCCCGGGAAGAAGAAGAAGGCGAAGGCTGCTGGTCGCAAGAAGAAGGGTAGCGTTGCTGATCAAGGAAAACTCATCGATCTGCCCGAGGGTTATTCCTTCCTTAACACCGCCGCCCTCGAGATAAAGTCGAAGGCTGATGGGGCGGATTACTATGTCACCCAGCTGCATGTTGGGCCCTCGGCTATTGTGGTGCCACCGGGACCTGATCACGTTCTCTCCCGTGCTCCCGATGGATGTATTGCTGTTCACATCCTGTCGGTGTCCATGGGCCTTCGGTTTCCACTGCATCCGTTCCTTCGGGAATACATCAGGTATGTAGACCTGGTCCCTTGCCAGCTAACGCCCAACAGTCACTCGTATATTACTGAGTTTCTTCACCTCTGCAAATCCCGGGGGTGACGCCTAGCTTGGATTTGTTCTTCCAAAGCTTCACCCTTTGCCGGGGAGGCCATGCAAACGCCGAGGGGTTCGCCAACTTGCAGCAGATCACTTAGTTCAGGCTGTTCACTGAGGCGCCCTCCTCAAACAAAGGCTGGAGCGGTGGTGCTACGTCAGGTTGGACGAGAACCCTTTCTCGAGGGAGTTGCGGGACCGTTTTAGGCGCCACGAGAAGACAAGAAGCGTCGCCCTCGAGAAAGATGGCCTCGTACTCGCCAAGATTCCGGAGGGGCGGAACAAGAACATAACTATCAAAGAATGTACCCTGGAGAGTGATTTATACGCCCTCGGCTTCCGGCGGTATCGTTTCCTGGGGGAAACAGATGAGAAGTTCCCCATCCTGGACAACGCCGTCGGAGGAACAGGAGGTAGTTTCCGAGGGCCTCGCATTTTGTTCTTAGGATTTTTTTTTCATTTTTGATGTTATTCTGATTCTCATGTTTGACCCCTCGACCTTACCTTCCTGTGTTGCCTTGCAGGTATTCCGGTGTCGAAGCTGAATGTGAAAGGCTTCATCGGGATGAAGAAGAAATCGGCCAAAGAGCCGAAGAAGAAAGGGGCGGATCTCCAGAAGACCGTTGATGAAACCTTGTCGAGGGGTTCTGTGCCCTCGGGTTTGCCTGCTGATGAGGTCGCCGATGCTGCCAAGAGGAAAGCAGCCGGCAAGGACGCCGCCCCCTTCGACAAGAAGGCGAAGAAGCGGGAGACCGGGACGAAGGCTCCCCCGGTCTTGATAGTCGATGACCAGCCGACTTCTGAGCCCCCGGTTGTGGCGGCCTCGGCTTCGGTCGAAGCTCCATCGCAAGTCTCCCCCCTGGAGGTTGTCGACCCGAAGGCGTTCTTGAGGAGCATTGCTGCGGGGATGGACAGGTCAACCCTCGGCACTTATGACGATGATGCCCTCGAAGACAAGATCCTCTGGTCTTCCTTGACTGTAAGTTCTTCTTCCTCTGCCCCCTTCCCTTCTTCCTTAGATTATCTTTGCATGGTTGCGCTAATTGTTTTCATTGTTGGTTTGCAGGCTTGCATTGCCCTCGGGGAGCAGTCCCGGAGGTTAGAGGAGTGGCACCTTCATAAGGCCGAGCAGGATGAGAAGATGAAGAAGCTCATCCATCAGAATTCTGATGTCGTAAGGCAGATGGCCCAGCTGGAGGAGAGCCTTCGGCATATGGAGCTGCAAGTGGAGGCAGTTAACCGGGGCAAGGCCGAAGCCGAGAGGTCTGCTGCTGAGGCCATAAAGAAGGCTGCCGAGGAGGCCGAGGCCGCCAAGGCGGAGGCTGTCGCCAAGGCGCGGGAGGATGCCCTCTGTGAGTTTCTGGAGGAGGGGTGGAAGGCCGAGGGACGTAAGCAGTGGGTGTCCTCGGTTGTGGAGGCGTCCGTTGAAGAGTGGTGTGAGGGCCCCGGTGTGGAGTGGTTGGCTCGAAAGGGCAAAGAATATTACGAAGGGGGCGAGTTCTTTACTCAGGCCCTCATCTACCGGAGGATGGACCGGCACTTGAAAATGGAGCCTAAAGACTTCGATCCGGCAGCATACGGCCTTCCTCCCCTGCAGCCAGATGTTCGCGTGCCCCTCCCCCCAGACGTTGAGAGGCCAGATTTGGAGGATTCGGAACTCATGAAGGACGCCGAGGGCGAAGGGGAGGCCTGAGAGGAAGTAACATTGATGCCTATGGTAGAGGATGCCTCCAGGGCAATCAATGCTTAATTTGTACTTAGAAATTTCTTGTAACAAACATTCGTATGCTTCCGACATCGGCCTGCAAACAATTTTTTATTCCCTGTTAATGTATGAATGCCTGCCTTCGGGATCTTGATGCTTTAACTTGCTCCCCTCTTTTTGAATGAATGGATATTTTCTTCTTCCCGTCTGTTTTTTTCTTGTGCATGAGTGTGTTTGCTTTCCTGTATGTTTTTCGTCATGATTTGATCGAGAGCCAACCTTCGGTTGTGTGACCCCTCTGGCTGCATGGAGATTTGACTGAGGGCCAAAAATTTAAGACTTAGAGAATTTTCCTAAGTGTAGTTTTTTCCTTGAGCCTCCGGTTAGTAGGCACTTCTTGCTATATGAAGTGGAGTGGCCTTCGTGCAATGTGAGTTTGAAATGTAGTTTTCCACTTAGCCTTTGTTGCACTGATAGTTGATCGAGGGCCAATCGGTTTGGACTTAGAAATTTTTCTAAGTGTGGTTTGGCCACTGAGCCCTCGGCTAGTAGGCCCCTCTGGATGGATGAGATAGAGGGCTCAAATTTTATGTGCCAGCCTTCGTGTACTGGCCTAATATGAATGATAATTTGACAGAGGACCAAGCATTTCAGGACTTGGAATTGTTTTTTTTTCCTAAGTGTTGCTTGTCACTTGGCCTTCGGTCTACGCCTTCCCTTATTTGTATCGAATGGCTTGGACTTCGTTGCATGATGGGTTGGTTAAGGGCCAACCATTTAGGACTTAGAATTTTTGCCATAATTCATGATTTTCCCCTCGGTGAATAGACCCTTCGATTTGTAGTATCTTGAGTAAGAAATCCCTTAGTGAAGGATGGTGGTCCCAGAGGTACCCAACTTTGTAGACTTAGAATAATTTCCCTTGGCTTGTAAGACTGGCCTCCGGTAATGTGTAGCAGATGCCTTCGCTTCGGTAATGTGAGCCTTCGGTGTTGGTGATGCCGGAGGCAGACAGAAAGTGGGCTTAGTCATTCCTTGATGATATTCGTCTAATAGTAGCCTTTAGGGATTGGTAGTGTATAGGTACCGGGGGTGTTCCCATGGGGAGTCCTTGGTATGATCTGTATTGTCTTGTGATGTCGAAGGGCTTGCTGTTGTGATTTGTTGAAGTTGCGTACTCATTGATTTCTCGTTGAGTCTACTCCCCTCCACCCCATTTTTTTTTGGTAATGAAGGGAAGGCTTCAACAAACTTGGTTTCATGGTAAGGCTTGGCCTATCGGGAGGTAACAGTATACACCATTAGCTCCCCCCTCGGGTTAACCTTCCGAGTTCCAAGGGGATCGAGGGTCGTTTCCTGGGCACGAGACATAGTCTGTTGCCTGCCTCCTCTTAGGGGATCGCACGGAAAGCGCCTCAGTTTTGAAAGTCGTTCCCTCAGCACGAGACGTAGACTTTGGCCTGCCATACCCTTGGGGTAATGGCGCGGGAAGCGTTTCATTTTTGAAAGTCGAATCCTGGGTATATTAGTTGTCTGCCGCACCCTTGGGGTAGTGGCGCGGAAAGCGTTTCATTTTTGAAAGTCGAATCCTGGGCATATTAGTTGCCTGTCATTCCCTTGGGGTAATGACGCGGAAAGCGTTTCAAGGAAGGGTTTTCATTTGCACACTGGTTGCAAATAGCCGGGGGCACTACGTGCTGCCGACACCGATAGGTGGCGCCTTCGCCCTTCGGTATAAATGCGTCCTCGAGGGGTACGGCTTCCGAAACAACACTTGGTGTTTGTTTCAGCATACGGCCCCCGGTATTTGGTACCGGGTGTCATCAAAGGGAAACACTTGGTGTTTTCCGCTGTCTGGAGTTGACAAGAGTACGTACCCTCGGCACTTGGTACCGAGGGGTCTTCTTTGAAAAACACTGGGTGTTTTTTCTTCATTCACTGCAGGTAGTGGGGGTGTCTACCCTCGACACTTGGTGCCGAAGGGTCTTGCTTGTAATAAGGCCTTGGGCCGGGAGCTTGTTATGAGGGCTTGGCCGCTCATAAGAGTCTTGTTTCTTGTTTTTGGTGTCTCCAATATGTCTTCATTCTTCGAATTTGAAGGCCTTGGGCCGTAGGATAATACATTCATTAGTTATGAGGGCTTGGCTGCTCTAACATTACTGATAAAATTCAACTAGGTGATGTACATTCCAATGCCTATGGACCTCTGTCCCATTGGGGCGTTTGAGTTTGTAAGTCCCAGGCTTGATGATAGTTGCCACAATGTAAGGGCCTTCAAACTTAGGAGCCATTTTGCCGCCCTCAGTTGGTTGGCTAGCCTTCCTCCGTCGGAGGACATAGTCCCCCACTTGAAATTCTCGAGAGCGGACCTTGGCGTCAATGTAACCCTTCACTTGTCTCCAATAGTTTTTTGCCCGCATGAAGGCCTGCTCTCGGCGTTCTGAAATGATGTGGAGGTCGAGGTCCATATTGGCGTCATTGACTTCAGGGTCGTATTGAGTCACCCTTCGGGTAGGAAGGGTCACCTCTGTGGGGGCCTTGGCTTCGAATCCGTAGCAAAGGGTGAAGGGTGTTTCACTTGTTGCCCACCGAGGGGTGATGCGTTAAGCCCATAGGATATTGTGGAGTTCTTCTACCCAGCCTCCCCCTTCGGCCTCCAGCTTCTTTTTGAGGCCCTCAAGTAATGTCCAGTTGGCATTCTCCACTTGACCGTTGCCTTGAGGGTAAGCAACGGATGAGAAGGTGTGCTTGATGCCCCATGCCTCTAGGAGGGCACAGAAGGGGGCTGCCTCAAATTGGGTTGCGTTGTCGGGGATGATTTGTTGAGGGACGCCAAACCTTATGAGAATGTTCTTTAGGACAAAGTGGCGGCACCTGACCTCAATAATGCTGGCAAGGGGCTCAGCCTCCACCCACTATGTGAAGTAGTCAATGGCAACGATGATGTACCTGTTGTTGGAGGTACCCCTCGGCAGAGGGCCCACAAGGTCTATGCCCCATCTAGCGAAGGGTATAGATGTGCTGATGGGGGCATAGTTGACCGCTGGCCTTCCGGGGGCTTTCTGGAAGTGTTGACATGTGGTACACCTTCGAGCGAGATCCGCACAATCTCGGGCCATCGTAGGCCAGAACTAGCCCTGGATTATGAGCCTTCGAGACATGGAGAAGGGTCCCTGGTGAGCTGAGCAAGTGCCACTGTGCACTTCCTCCATGGCGACTTCGGCTTCGTCTTGATGAAGGCATCGGAGTAGTGTGCCATTGTAAGATCGTTTGTAGAGCCTTCCGTCCTCGATGGTGTAGCTGGGGGCCCTCCACTTTGCCAGCTTAGCGCGGGCCTCATCCTCGGGCAGTTGCCCTGTGGTGATGAAGGCAATGATGTCTGAGATCCAGTCCTCCTGTCTTTGTTGTATATTCATGATGGGGCTGGCGTGTATGCTGGAGAGGCTGAGTTCCTCGATTTTGGCGATTTTGGATATGTGCTCGGGGGATTCGGCCGAGAGCTTTGATAAAATGTCGGCCTCAGAATTTTGAGCCCTCGGTATTTGAGTGAGAGAGTGTGCCTCAAATATCTTAAGCAATTCCTTGGCGGCTTCCTTGTACTGTTTCATCCTCCCTTCTTTGGCCTCGTACTCTCCTGAGACTTGGCCGACGACTAACTTGGAATCGCATTTGACGTGGATTTGTCAGGCCTTCATGTTAGCTGCCAGCTGAAGGCCACAGAGGAGGGCCTCATATTCGGCTTCGTTGTTGGAGACTTTGAAAGAGAAGCGGATGGCATAAAAGGCCCGGAAGCCTTCGAGAGAAATGAAAACTACCCCTCCCCCACAAGCTTTGATAGCGGAGGAGCCGTCGGTGTAGAGAGTCCACCAGTCATCCGAGGGTGCCGAAGGCTCCTCGTCAGTGGCTGATCTCGCCGTGCATTCCGTCACAAAGTCCGCCAGGGCTTGGCCCTTGATGGCAGGCCTCGGACGGATGTCGATGTTGTATTGGCTGAGGAAGATAGCCCACTTTACCATCCGGGAGGAGCTGGTGGGGCTCCTCACCAAAGCGCTGAGGGGTTGGTGGACCGGGTGAGCTTGGAAGTAGTGGTTCTTTATCCCTGGGGCCTCTAGGTGCCGAGGGCTCTAGATACTGAGGGCTACTATTTTCGCCGTTTTCTCTCAGACACTTTGAGTGCTTAAAAGCAGCTGTACCGTAGGTTTATGAGCCTTCGGCCAGGGGGGCGAAGGCACCCCCAATGTTCATCGTGGGTTGTTTGGTGCTTGGGGCGCTGTGATTTGGGCCTATTGTGCTTCCTGGGCCTATTGGGCCTTCGCTATAGTAGTGGGAGTCTATGTGCCGGGGGTTCCTGGGCCATATACTCCATCAGTACCGAGAATAGAAATATATCCGGTCTTATATGACACGGGTGTGATGTCTTGATATTCAACGGGGTTTTCGGTATATGAATGTAAGCCGTAACGGGACTTACACGTAACGAAAACCACGCTCTCGCTGCCTTAACCGGAGTTGAGAATATATTAGCGACATCGTATTCATAATTATTAGCAAAGAACTAATACTCAACCCTATTAAAGCATTTAAGTGATTCTCGAAGCCTTAGTTATTGTTATTATTCATCTTAAACTCAAAATTAGTTAACTATTATCTTCTTGAACAAAAAGTGAAAAACCAAAAATATAACACACAAATCAAAAATCCCTGCACTTTTCTCATTTCTTCATTTAAAGTTATCTACTCACGGACTAAATTAAACAACGTTTCCTTGTGGATTCGACCCAGTATTTTATCGGAATTAATTACTATATCGGCACTTGTACACTTGCCAGTTTAGCCCGGTCAATGACGGAGTAGTCACTGAATGACGGAGTAGCCAAGACAGTTAGTAAAGTGGCGGTCATCAAATGACAGAGTAGTTATGACAGTGACTGAATGGTTGAGTAGTCACTGAACCACATAGGGTGATCAAGTCACTGAACCACGCTTGTGGGCTGCTGGGTGATCGAGTCACTGAATCACGCTTGCGGGCTAAGTCACTGAATGATAACAGCACTTATATTGGCGGCAACCGTGTATGCAGTAGTGATGTCGGCAGTGCAGTAGTGATGTCGGTAGTGCAGTAGTGTATGTCGATTTCAATGTGTTTGGTCCGTTGGTGTTGTACCGGGT